AAAATATTTTTTTCCTTTCATTTGTTTGAAATAAATTCATTCATTCATTCAAAAGAAAATGAGCGTGTTAATGTCAAGAGATTAATCTGTGGAATGAACACATTCATTCTAGAGAGTTATTGCACACAATATATTAAAAATTCAAATTGGGGGTCACGAACACAAACGTCTGTTATCTTGGGGGTCGTGGCTCAGAAAGTGAGAGAGAACCACTGGTCTGTTGTATAATTCACACTCTACTGTACTTTTTACTACACATTACTACATTTTGTGACACGAGGCTGTTCTATCATTTATATTCTACTGTCCTTCACTACACCGTACCAGTTGGCAGTCAGTCTGTGGGTTAAAGGCTTGTTGTTCAGTTAGTTGCTCTGGTTCTCGTCTTCGGTCTCAGAAGGTGGCATCCTGCTGCCGCTGTCACTCACCTGCACATACACACCTGTGGATGCCACAGACCTGCAGCTCCAACGTGTTCTGCATTAGCCGATGGGATGGAAGCGCAGCGGGAGGGAAAAGAAACCAGCAGCGGCAGCAGAGAGTCGGCCACCGCTAATCAAATAGCAGACAGGTAATTCAATAAAGGCAGGCGGAGGGAGCGCGTGCAGAGAAGCTGGTGTCTCAGTCGTCGTGTTTCTGCAGCCTGGAGGCCACGTTTCAGTTCACACAAAGACTCTCTGTTTTACTGACGTTTGACAGAAAACAACCCACGTTATCAGTTAAATGTCAAACAACTGCAACCTGTGTGGCCTTACAGTAATCAGATTACTCCAAAATTGAACAGATGGGATTCATTTGTCAGCTATTAAAATAATCTCTGACAATGTCAATAAAGTTTAAGTATTTCTACTATAAACAGTCTAAATCAGGGGTCTCCAGTCCTGGTCCTGGAGGGCCACAGTCCTGCATGTTCTAGATGGTTCCCTGTGACTCATATGATCAGCTCATCTTCCAGCTCTGCAGAAGCCTGATAACCATCCTGATCATTGAATCAGGTGTGTAGGAAGAGGGAAACATCTAGAACATGCAGGACTGTGGCCCTCCAGGACCAGGATTGGAGACCCCTGGTCTAAATGTTTCTTCAGTGTGAGTATTTTCTGGTTTCTTTCCTCCTCTGTGACAGTCAGCAGGACATCTGGGGAAGCATTCTCTGGTATCTTAGAGGCCAAACAACTGATGGATTCATGCAGGAAACCTTCAGTTTACCAGACAGTGGAGGTGATAGGTTAGAATGCTGGCTTTGGTTTGGTGGTGTTTCATTAAAACTCCTCCAGAGCAGATCGTCTTTCTCTTTGTGGACTCGATGAACCGTCTGTTTCCCTGCGAGGCATTCGCTGTGTCACATTGAATCCTGTAAAATGCAGTTCTGTCTGTTGGCCTCACCTGGACCATATTAATATTTCATAACTCTGATCCTCCTGTGAGCGTGCACGGAGGAAACGTGCACAGATTGTGGCTGATTTGTGACGTTTCAGATGTGAATGAAGCCGGATGGTGTGGTCTCACTTTTCAGCTTTATTTTACAAAAACACAAAGCAACGCTCCTGAAAAGCCGTCAGGTCACCGCGTTCGACAAGCTGCAGGACGACATCGAGTACAAAACACACTCACAACGCTTCAGACTCTGAAACCAGACAGAAAACTAAATTTAACAAAAAATAAAAAATAAAAATGCAAAAAGCAATTTAAAATACTTGACGAACAACATTTCTTCTTCACAAACTGCAAAAATCCACCTGAGCTCCTCTGCAGCAGCAGCAGGAACCAACAGCAGCAGCTTCAGAGGATTTCAGGGGATTTTTCCTTCAAGACGTGACCTGTGGCGCTTTGTCTTCTGCTTCTTTGTTGGTGGTTAAGGCTGCTGAGCTCCTCCCTCTCTGCAAGTCTACTGACTGAGGTTCATCGTCCTGCTGGAGCGACTCCTCACCACCTTCTGGAACAGATCTTCTGGAGAAACAAACACAGAGTCAGGTTCGCTCCTGCAGCAACGACTGCAGAAGAAATCACAAACACTCACCGTCTCTGAAACTCCGGGCGTCGGCCTGCAAGACACAGAGGAGGGCGTCAGACTCACAGATCCTGCAGCCAGCTCAGCGTGAATCAACACTCACTCAATCAAACTTGGTCAGAGAATTCCCTCCCTCCTGTCAGCTTCCTGATTCACCATAAAGCTGAAGATTCTTTCTACCAGCTCACAGATATTTGATTCGCTGCCAGCTGGAACCACTCGCAGCGGTGCACCAGGAGCATTTCCCCACGACGCCCAGGTGTGAATCATTTGAGGGAAAATATCTAACTTTGGTTTTTCTGGCTGATACGACCATGTGAAGAGTTGAGGAGCTACAGTCACATGTGATCAATGGACAACATGATGGAGAGAGTTCTGTTAGTTAATGTGATGTTAAGGTTGGTCTTACCCTGGAGGAAGCATCTGATCTGGGAGGAGCTGCCGGTCCATCGGCCTGCTCTCGGTCCACCTTCGGAGCTGCAGAAGCATTAGGAAACAGGAGGTCAGCAGACTTAGGAATAGGAAATGCTGATGAAATGTTCACCTCTATGCAGATGACACCCAGCTGTATCTATCTATGAAGCCAAATGAAAAACAAACTTCAAACATTCTGAAGGACGTAGAAGCCTGGATGGCCTGTACATTTCTTCTTCTACAATCCGACAGACCTCAGAAACGCAAACGCACTGAATAACCAGGCAGCTGCTCTGGATGGTACATCACACTTCCAGAAACTCCTCATTCTTTATTACAACTCTGTGAGTGACGTTGTGCTCTAAAGGAAATGTCCAAAATGATGTTTAAAAAAAAGGTTAATTACATGAAATTTTTAAAATAAAAGTGCCCAGAAAGATTTTTTTCAGAAATAAAAGAAAAGAAAAATGACAGAAAAATGTCAAAAAAAAAACCCTAATCCTATCCAAAAGGCTAAAAAAAATAATATAATAACAATAAGAAGAAGAAGAAGAAGAAGAAGAAGAAGAAGAATTTAAAAATTGCTTACAATTGGGTGACAATGATGCAAAAATATCCACAATCACTCACAATTTGTCCAAAATGTCTAAAGTTGCTTATCGTGTGTAAATCGACTCGAAACGACCAAACTTCCAGAATGACTCGAACTCTGCAAGTCTTCTCCATGAACAAAGGCAGTGATGGAACCAGAAGCAGACTCTGATTCAGTCACAGCTGGAGAACATTAAAACCTCTTTTCTCTCTCTGCTCTCTGCTAATTCTCAATGTTTGGCCCTGAAATATGAAACATGATTTTATTTCCAACAAATGTCAACCTTAAAGTTTTGCTTTGGTCTCTGCAGAAACAGAGAACATGAGGGGTGTCAGAATAAAAGCGGTGGAGCAGAGCAGCAGGAGCAGATCAGACGCCTTTCCAAACATCATGTGAATTCACAGAAACGATCAGAGTTGGATCTTCAGCACCGAACCTCCGTTCTGCTTAGATCTTAGCTCAGCTAGGAGTGACTGTTCCTGATAGGACTCACGCAGAGGTTTGATGACGCTGCTGACGGCGTGGACGACTCCGTTGGTGGCCATCAGGTCGGCGTCGGCCACCGGGACCTTGTTAACGTACACCGTGTAGTTCCGCTGCAACACAGAGAGCACCGATGAAAGCTGCAGCTTCAGTACAGCTGGTGATAATGAACGATGCTTAAATAAAGTCTGGACTGACCACGCCCAGCTCCAGCTTCTCCCCCTGCAGAGGCTTCAGTCTGGTGTGAGACCCGACCCCCCCGCTGACCAGCATGCCCTCCCCCAGGTGATACCGGAGCACACCTGACAGCTCCTGAGGGTTACCTGCAGACAGACACACAGCTGGTTACTGATACGTTTGGTTTGGTTTGTGTTGGCGCCATGTCACCGGCTGTTTCTCTTCACTGCAACATGAAGCTCTGCACCTCTGTGGACACAGACACGTGAAGAAAGAGGAAAAAACAGTATGTGTGATGATTTATTTCACCAAAATGTAAAAATCCTGGAAGCAACATTTCCAACATTTTGTCCACAGATGTTACCAACACAGGACAACATGGAGACCACTGACATCTCTACAGCCTCGACAAACTCTGACAGAGAGTTTTGTCTCCTTTCTTTTGTTTTCTGTCTCGTTTTGATCATTTTGAGTCATTTGTGTAATTTTTTCCTTATTTGTGGTCATTTTCCCTCATCTGTCATTTTCCCTCTTCCTGCTGTCGTCTGTGTTTGGATTTTAGTGCCTTTGAGACAGTTTTGTCTTTACATGCGATAAATATTTAATCCATCCATCCATCCATCATCTCTCCACCTTAATCCTCACCAGGGTCATGGGGGGCGGAGCCTATCCCAGGTGACTCAGGGTGAAGGCAGGTATAGTAGTTTTTTAGCTTTTAAATAATCCGTCTTGAGCAAACGTTTTATTTTTGTTTGTTTGTTAAATGTGTTTTTGACACGTAGAATAAAGTGAACTTTATATTATTGTTTTAAGCTCAGACGTGATGTTTTCACTCTGAAAATACTAGAACTTTGCAGAACTTTCTCTTCATCCTGGTGGTTCCTTTATCAGCTCTGGCTGATAAACGGTGGCTTTCTTTAAGACGTCTTTTTTGGGGATAACGTGTGGTGCTTTGTGGGCCCGTCCCTCCACCTGTCCTCCTCCTCTGTCATCAGCACAGTCACCACTAGAGGGCGTGGTTCTAGTAAAACCTCACTGTGTGGTCATGATGTGCTGCATGAGCAGAGCCAGAGGCTGGTTGGATGAATACCTGGAGCTCTGCATGCCTTTATTAGGAAGCACTAAGGGTTTATTCTAAACCAGGTTGAAGCCTCGTTCAGCTGAGTGTCACATAAACACTTTGTGAATGTTCAGACCAAACAAGGAGCAGAGAACGAGTCGGCTGAGGACACAAAGACAACACCTCAGACCATCATCCAGCATGTTGAAAGCAGCAGCTGCTGAGCCAGACAGCTTCACAGTAGAAACACAAGATTAACCCAACAAGTGCCA